CTCTGATTACGTGTTACAGGAAATATGCAAAAAATATTATTTTTAAAAAACAACAGGTTTTATACCCAGCCCTAGTTTGACTGACTCTGTAGGGAGAGCAAAGGGCAACCGTTGTTGTATGCTAGATATTCACTATGACAGATAAGTGCTGACATAATAATGTATTTGCGTCGGTGAAGAAATTGAGTTTTTATGGCCCTAGTTACGAAATCTATTTAATATGGTAATCTTATAAATCAGCTATCCTGGGGCTCTTTGTGTCTCTGTCTGGTGAAGTCAGCCTGCTTTCATAAGTCTTCTGCTGACTCTTAATCAGATCACTATCAATGAATGGCCCTATCTTGTCAACAACATGATGTTAACAGCTTGAAAAACAAGCGAGAGGAAACTGTTTGCATGACAGAAGGAAAACGGCTCAGCTTTGCTTAATACATTAAGTGTTCTGCATCACTTCAAACCTGAGTCAAGTGAATTATGAAAATTATGAAACCGGTTTAGTGAGAAGATTTTCTACGCAGGAAAACAAAACTTGCACGTTGTTTCACTGTTTGCACGTCTTTACCCTCTTTTAGAAACTTTACTGAGTTGAGCAAACCTGGAAAGAATCTTGTATAACAGGCTTTCAAAACTGTCCCAGAATCTATGTATGTGATAACTCCTGCTTACATCGAACCTCCCCTCCTACTTTAGACCCTCCCTCCTTCCTTGCACACCACACATTCACTTCGTGCCGTTCTGGCACTGAAAAGTAGGGCAGGGTCTCTCTCTCTCGCTCTCGCTCTCGCTCTCTCCCAGCTTGCCCTCTCTGGGCTGATGTAACAGTGTTAGAGCTGCGGCGCTGTGTGCTCTCACTGTAACCACTCAGCTGATTACAGGTCTTATGTAAGGAGGGATTGTCGAGAGGAAAATGGGACATATATGATCCTGTTGCAGAAAAACAACAGCTCCATGCATGCAAGGTTTTTAAACAAGATAGCCCTTTGTGTAGTTCAGCAATATGCAGAATATCTCCTTCCTCACCTCGACTTCACAAACCTCTTTCTCATGCTGGATCAAACTTTTACTGTTGCATAGCATTGTTGTTGAAAAGCTCATAAAAGCAGAAATGTGTGGTCACATGCAATCACATAATTAAACAAAGTTTTTATTGCCGTGTAAGTGAGGCCAAACTCTTGGAACATGTTTCTGCAGCTGTGTGTGTTTAACTGCATGTGTAAATGTACACACCTTTTGTTTGCATGTATGCACGTTCACACTTGTAAGGTAGGCATGTACAGTAGTGTGTCCTCAGCGGGGTGTGTAGCTGTGTCTTTGTGTGTGCATGTATTTGAGTTCGGCTGCATGTAAATCGCAAATCATGTCTTTGTCTTGCTGTTGCGTGCCTGTTTGTAAGTGTTAACGCCCAGCATAGTCCTCAGGGTGCCAGAAACGTGTTATGCCCAGGGAGCAGAGAGCAGATGGTGTGAAAACAGGTGAGCACGGTGAGGCCTTGCAGCATGTTTTCCTGGCACTGTAAGAGGAGGCTTATGCAATTGCTTCTAACAGCACCTATGACTCTCAGCAGTGTGTAGAAACTATAAGACAATAAGTCAAGATAAGAAGTGGGGGCAAGAAGTTACTCATAAAAAAGTCCTCTGACTTTGAAGACCTAGACATTCTTCTCTGAACAAGGTGAATTTTGACATTAGTATAATTAACCAGTAACCCTTCATTAAAACACAGAGAGACGCTTGAATATAGCTGAGAGTGAAGTACATCTTACATCCACAGTCTTATTCGTTCTTGTTTTTGTTTTTTTTCTCTGCAGCGGTCCTTCTTCCATCGTTTAACAGGGGACAACAAGTCCGAAAAATTCTTCAAGGTGTTTTACGAGCGCATGAAGTTGGCTCAGCAGGAGATAAAAGCCACTGTAACGGTCAATACAAGTGACCTGGGCAGCAAAAAGAAGGAAGATGAGCCACCAGACAAAGACACGCTAGCACGCAAGAAAGGTGAGGGGTCGGGAGTTTAGGTCACCAGCAGGAAATGTTAGATCTTTTTTTTTTTTTAAGGGAATCACACGAGATAATCAAACTGGCAGAATAAACCTCTTTTATCTTCTGTGTGCGTGGCAATTGGTCTGTTTGAACACCCAGCGTCTAAATGCCATATGTGTGAAAACAGAAACTGCCACATCATTTATTTAGGGTATTAAATCTTGTAAATTTTCTGTATGCTTTGATCAAAGTCATTTAATACGGTCTAAATTTAGATGATAAAATCAATGAGAATATTCCCCTGAAAAAGAGCGAGTGATTATACAAATCAGTACATGAATACGTGACTAACTCTGGGTCTTATCTCCACTGGTCTGTGTTTGACTCTGTCCTAAACCCGTGGTTAGTCAAAGATGTGCCGGTGGTGGCAGTGGTGACCGAGGAGGTGAAGGAGCAGCTAGTGGAGGCCTCCGCTGTCACCAAGAAAGCCTTCACAACCTACCGCCGCGAGGCTGAAGCCGAAG